GGAAACCACCTTTTTCTTTCAGCCACAGTAACATTCACCTTTGACCTTTTATCCCCCAAATCAGTAGGATTTTTCCCAACTTCCACAAGTTTGGTCCAGGTCTGTGACATGGAGCTAATGGTGTTTTGTACAGAAACCATGTTATAGTAACCTTGACCTTTTTTACCTTTGACCCCATAATCAATAGGCTTCATCCTTGCAATAAGTGTAAGATATTCCAAGTTAGATTTAGGCACGTTACCTTGAACTAATGTTATTGTGCAGAAACCACCCGAGGGAGGGGATATTTTAAAGTGACATAAATCTTAAGCTTTTTGACCCCAAAATCAATTGAACTTATGCAAAATGGTAGATTGTTCTGCCTACCAAATCACATGACATGACACCCTACTAACATCAAACAAACAGTATTTGGCCAAGAAATATATTTCAGCTTAAGTGATAAATTGACTGAAATTTGTTAAAAATATAAAATTTCAAGTTGCATAAATTATAGTGCAGTAGACAATATTCATGTATATATTTGTAGTTCAAATCTGTATTGTAATAATCAACGTGTGTTATTTTAGGAAATAATAAAAATCAATTTTAAAACTGCTAGATAACTTATTCATGTACAAGGAAATTCATTCCAAAGGATGCTAATGTATTTAGTATATAATCCTATCATTATTAATTTTATCTGGCTTATGGTCATACTGCCTTGGATCGAAATGAATTACAAAATTAATAACAAAATAGTAAATAATTACTGTTTAGAAGTATATTGTTATACATAATAATTTTAAATGTTCTACTATGTCATATGGAATTTGATCAATGATGTCTGTTAATGTAAACATATAAATGCATGCTTAATATATTGAATGATAATTGTCTGAAACCATTGTTTTTGTCTTTAAAGTGTACATTTTCAAACTTTAAAATATTACAGTCTGGGGTTTAGTGTTTCTTATACAAGACAAATAATATATATATATATATATATATATATATATATATATATATATATATATATATATATATATATATATATATATATATATATATCAAACCCCCAAAGTTAGGGGTTTTTCCACTCATATTCTAAAAACATTTATTTTTACATTTATTTTTCAATTTCAATACTTTTTTTTTCTTAAAGTCATCGATGGGACAATGCTTTTGTACACATGTTTATGCAAACAAACATGTTGTAATTGCCATCAATTGTTTCCATATTCAGCTGATTGAACATGTGACCACAAAAAATTCTTTATCCATCAAAGCAGAAGCCATCCACAAAGTTTGGTTGCTGTAGCTACTGGCCAACTCCAGTGCAAAAACAAAACTGGTAAAAGACAGATGGAATTACAGATGGACAGAAAGTATTATAATAAGCCCCACTCTATGGCTACCATATTATACCCCACCCTATGGCTAGCATAATATATTCCACCCAATGTCTAGCATATATGCCCCACCCTATGAATAGCAAAATATGCCCCACCCTATGAATAGCATAATATGCCCCACCCTATGAATATCATAATATGCCCCACCTTATGGTTAGCAAAATATGCCCCCAAGCCCATAGCTTGCACAATATGTCTCACTCTATGGCTTGCATACAAAATAAGCTCTGAACTTTCAAAGTAATTAATAATACCAAGGGACAGGTAGGTAAAAAGTATTTATTTTTTACCTAGTTTCTATTTGTATCAAATATCTATTTATTTATCACATTGTGTAACTTGACAGGATACAAGGGTAAGATACAAGCAATGGCCTGAAAGTAGATTCAAATTATTTTTCTGTACTTCTGCATTATTTTCCACAAGAACAAAAGTTATTAAAATATCCAATCATTTACAAACATTAATAAACAGACAAAATTAATTATACACCTTCAACAATTTTTTGATTACAGAATGTTTACGTCAACAGTTACATTCAATTTTAAATTTTTTTACAACTAGCTTAGTAATGAATATTTTGAAGTTAAAATTAATAGAATTCCAAAAGTAAAATGGCAATTATATGATTATCACAGGAAGAATTCACTGGGGATATGGGGCATATCACATGACTTTCAATTTTATAGGTGGCAAGGGACATATCACATGACTTTCAACTTTATATCATATTACTTTCAAATATTAAAAGGCCAAACGAAAAAAATATTGTTTCCTATTACACTGGTTTTAAAATCGGTAGGCAGAAGGGGAGATGGTTTGTTTACAAAAAAAACACAAGCATATATATATATATATATATATATATATATATATATATATATATATATATATATATATATATATATATATATATAATTTTTGTACTTTTTTACCATGGGGGAAAAAAGTGCTCAGATTAGCCAACCAGAAACACAATATTTTGTCTGCCCTAACTCAATTAAAACTATGATGCAGACGAAGCCTGATACACTCTCTAACATGGCAATAGTCTTCCTGACTCCTTAGTTAACATGCTAGACATGCAATCAAAGTGTGCAGGTTTAAATCCTACCACTGGATCAAACTGGACTGGCTACCATAGTATTCATGGTGTGTCCCTGAGCAAGGCAGTTTACACTTACTGCCTGGGCACTAGATAACCTACATGTGTTGTTGTATGATACAATACCAAACCAAGTCAATATATAATTTTATACTGCCTGAATAATTTAATTCTTTAACAAACATGTCAAATATTTCTGACTATTTTGAGAAATATGCCATTCACATATGGCACTTGATAAGTAAATAACAATTAATAATTGGTAATTGTTTACATATCATTGTACATTTGTTCAGAGCAATATATATATATATATATATATATATATATATATATATATATATATATATATATATATATATATATATATTAAGAAAACTACAGATGTGGTTTTTGAAATAAATACAAATCTCAATGATTTTATTTGAAGGTTAAAATTTACCATTTTCAAAAAAGAATTATTTTACTAAGAATCAGAAAAAAAGGACTATTACAGATGATGATAGAAAATATTTTTATGTTCATTTTTTTCCATTCTGTAATGTTTTCTTCCTATTCCATGAATTTATTACAACTGCAACCTACCATACAAAAGTAACAAAAAATGTCAGTAATTTACCTAATGGACTGACGCTGATATTTTGTAAAAAGAAAATAAAGATAGCATCAATGGCATGGCATGGTGCACAGTTATTGTTTAGCCTCAAAAGTAAAATGCAAATGTCGCTCATGTAATTAATGTTAACCATTTACGGATAGTGATCTGAACTATACTGGTTTTAGACAAAATTTCGCCGCGTACCAATTGTCGCCATCATAATAATAACTCTGTTAATAATATTATCCTAATGCTTATTTTTGATCGTGCTTTTCAGCTGTAATCACTCTTTTTATTTTTTAAATAGGAACCAAAACTTTGCGTGGGGTCGTGAGTTATTATTAATATGGCAACAATTGGTACTGTATACATTATGGTCTGATGAACTGTACTTTGAGAATAACGTAGCGTGAGTTTGTGTGTCTGTGTGTTTGTGTTTCTCTGTGTGATTGTGTGCGTGTCTGTGTGTTTATGTTATATAACTTATCAATGTGGGAAATCAAACAAATCTTACCTGCATCATCTGATTATCGCTACGTTTACCGTCTGTTCAAGGTAATAGACTGCGTTCTATTTGAATTAACGCCGATTAAGCGAAAAATGGGTGTTGCATACGTGCTATTTTTAAAATTCGATGTCATCTGAGGTCACATTTTTGCTGTTGTAAAACAGAGGCATGATTGTAACTCGAATCTCCAGCCTCAGCAACCTGACGATGTTTTGATGAGAGTTGCGCAAGCGCAGTAGTACTTTCATCCATACTTCCTGCGAACATTTGTGACTTCTCATTGGAAAATTGACTTTACCGTATTTTCCCACAAATAAGTAAACAAATAAATAATGGGATATACTTGAACAAATTCCCTACTAAGCTGTCTTCTATGCCGATGTCTTATAAATTATTTAAACAGCTGGAGCAAATAAGGATTGTAGTTAAAATGTGATGATACGTGTTTAATTGACCTGGAAGTGTGTAGCCGAACTCTAAGCGTGATCATCAGGTCTATTTGTGTACACTAATATGATTATTCTTTTTTTTTTTCTTCTGCACTATGAGTCATCTCGTGCGTAGTTTATCATCTTGCATTATATACATACATATTCGCTTGTAAAGATACCTTCTGGTTTAAATTGACGAAAACTCGAGTGCTTCAGTGGATGTTTACATTTGGGAAATATATATTTGATATATATGTTCTTTTATGTTTACAATGTTTTACTCTAAATCCGTATTTTAATTTAGATGTATGAACTATGCTGTCTGAAAAAAAGAATTCTTATTTTATCTTATCTTATCGTGTTCATGACTTATTCAGCTTATACCGATTTTAAAGAAAACATTTAATTCAAATTTTAAATACCTTAAATTATTTTTTCTCTCATGGTATTTCTATTTTTGAAGAAGTGACCACCGTAGCACTGTTTATACTACCGTATAGTTGGATGCAACTGCAACATGTATAGACCAATAACTGCCGCTGCATAAAGTATCGTCAAATCTAGTACTGTACAGTTTTTTAGAACTAATTGGCAATTTAAAAAAAAAGAACCCTGGTCTGCCGGTGCATATTGCGTCGGCAGAGAAGGGCATTTGTTCTTTTTAGTTGAACTCAATATATGAACAAACAAATAAATACGGTAGGCTGGAAGACTAGATTATAATATATACTAACTACCCAAGAAAATATACTCTTCAGTCATAATTTATATATTTCTGTTATATTCCTGATTCCGCACATTCTGACACTATCAATGTAAATTTACTTGTTTTTTTAATAGCAAAGACCTTGTCTTATCCTTCCATGATCGACAAGAGCTTCAAGACTTTAAATCAAAGAGCCATTTACATTATAAAGCAACCACGAAAACCGTTGTTGCTATATTGTATTTAAATTTCAGAACTGCTCCGGTGGTCTAGTGGTTATAGCGTCCGCCTCGTATGCGGAGGTCGTGGGTTTGATCCCAGGCCGAGTCATACCAAAGATCTTCAAAAAAGGTACTAACAGCTGCCTCGCTTGACGCTCAGCATTAGGAGGTTAGTGTTAGGACTGGTCGGCCTGGTGTCAGGATAATGTGACTGGGTGGGACATTATGCTACATGTCTGCGTCATGATGCCCCAGTGCTAGACATAACTATAAACTGCCACATTGCAGACATAGTAGCGATATGACTGAAAAATTGTTAAAGCTACGTTAAAAATCATAATCATATTTAAATTTCAGATGCAGTTGTAAACTTTTATTTTAAAAATGCATTGTTTAGTCGGTCCACAATTTGAGAGAGCCAATAATTGGAGTAAATTTTTATATCGACTAACAGCTCGCGAGATAAAGGTTCATTTGTCTTTTGATTTTGCCCTTTCTTTAGAATTTTAATCTTAGCTTAATTTGGATGCTTTCTTATGGTGTGCAATCAGCGAAAATGTTAGATTCACCCAACTCATTCAAGGCTTTAGGAAGAATAACCATTCCAAGTAAGGAACAGATATACTAATCTGGAAGAAAAAGATACTAACATTAAAGGTGTAAAAAGATAAACAGGTAATATCGTTAAGATGGGTCTAAAGTTTTATATAAAGCTCGTTATTAATTTGCCCTTTTATTCAGAGGCGTAGCTAGGGTGGGGCAGGGGGTATATATGTCCCCGGGCGCCAAGGTACATGGCGCCAAAATGAGGCTTACAACGTTACATTATAATAAGTAAAATAGAAAAATGTGATTAAACGGAGAGGGGGCTGGGGCGCCAATTTTATAGTTCGTCCCCGGGCGCAAAATATCATAGCTACTCCTATGTTTTTATTACCGTTAACATTCACTAGATGATTTTGTCGGTGGAAGACAAAAGATTATATATCCTAACTCCCCAAATAAGTGTATTGGTGATACATTAGTAAAGCTCTTGAAAACACACCACACGCGCGCGCATTCACGCACGCACCGCGCAACAAGACCGAACTACGGCAGTTTAATCCGTAGTGACACACAACGACTCTGTAACTGACCCAAAATAGAATATATAAGGTGGCAAACCCGCCAACAGGCTCGGTCGCACAAGGGGACAAGACTGGTTGAACAACACCCAAACACCACAAATATTAGCTCCTATCTACTCCCCCCCCCAACAAGTTGGAACTAACAAAAGTCACAAACTATCTCCAAACTATCAACACGCAACGTGTAAATCCCAAACAACACCAACTGAACAGTATCTCTCAGACCTATTCCTATAAATACTAACAACAAAGCGACAGAATGTACTAGAATTATTTTTTTAGATAATAAATACGGTTATAATGGCATCATACAACGACATCACAGCTTGGTGATCAAGGAGCAAATCATCCAGTCTGACGTCAATCGGAAGTCGAATCAGCAACAAACAGCCTATCTTCAGAATGATACCGCTACAGCAAAGACCGTCAAGAAAAAGAACAACAAAAGAAGACCAGCAAGACAAAGAAAATGAAGCATCGACTTTCCAATTGCCCAATTACATGAGGTTCTTCCTTTAGCTATTGAAAACCTCTTTCGATAAAAGCTGTATCCCCAAAATCCCGACTTGATCCTTTGATTCCACCGCCAGAATTAATGACCTTTAATAAACACTGCGTGACTCTAATATGCATGGGACGGCTGACATCCCGCTGATTGGTACTATTTACAAAACTAAAGTACACCATGTACACAAAATTCCAACTATTGTAAATTAGAGTAACGGAAATCATAAGACTCATTACACACCATTGGAATCTCTATTAGTGCAACTGGACTAGATTTGATCATATACGCTCTTGCGTTTTGGTTGTTTTCGCTTTTCGGTGGCGTTTCGCGTCCCGCGGGTCCCCTCTCGCCTGGCCTCGATATAAATAAAAAGTGCAACACTCGCACATAAAAGCGGATCTGTGGTGGATCCGTACCCACAGCCCCGACCAATTAATAATCTCCACATTCGAGAATTAACCATTAACGAAAGCAATAATTGCATAGGCAACTTAAATTCTTATTGATTAATTGATTAATCCATACATGTATATCCAGACCACATAAAGAAGAATTACACAGTCCATCGTATAATCCTATATGTAGATGTGAACTATTGTCCATTGGACATGCCAGAAATTATAATATCTAAAAAAATGCGTGACATTGGGCAGACATTAGTCGAAAAAATATAATCTTTTTATATTTTGTTTTTATCACACTTTTCTGTTCATACTTTCGTTCACCTTTTCATTATACACGATTGCTTCACTGACCATTTTTGGGGAGTTAGAAACTGTTTCATCAAAGCGTTTTTGGGAGGGTATTTATCTAAAATATATCAACATATTGATATGTAGCATCCAGTTCAATCTTGTAACATTTAAATGCCAGAAAGACACATTGTTCTAACGAAGGGTGGGTCATATAATTAAAACAGCATCTCCAAACCGTACAATATCATTTAATAACTTCAGCGGGGATATTTACTCCGATGATGATTTGAATCAAATAACTGCTTGGAATCTATCATATATTGAAAGCCATACCGAAGAGCAGAAAAAAGTTTGATCTGACTAATATGTAATGCAATAAAAAAAAATACCTTCAAAGGAAAGCAGCGAATAAAAGTAGTTTTTCTTTAACGTAACAAACGTCAAAATTCTGAATCCGTTACTTCGTGTTATAACGTTTTGGGTTTTTTTTTAGATATAATACAGAATTGGAAATAATTTCAGTGATTCACAGCTGTTTTTATAAAAACAAAATACTATTTTAACTCTTATTTCTTTCTATGTGCGGAATGAACCTTATTAATGTAATCACATTCGTGCATAATAATGAGATTTTCTTCAAAATTCAGCGAAAATTATTGCGATTAATAAAACATTTTCATATGGAATAAATCTCATTATTATATGCACAGATATTAATGAGGCTTATTCCGTTTCAGAAGGAATTCCCATTTCATACATGTTTGAATAGAGCCCAGTGGTTTTATTCATCTGTAACTTATTTACGGAAGAAACTGCATGATTAGTAATGTCAGAAAGGTTTATTCCGTCCAAATATAAATGTGGTTCCGTTTCATAAAACCTTTGGTAAATATAATGTACAAATGACTCAAATATAATGTACAAATAATTTACAACTATATAAATTTTGATTTCTGATTGTATAAATATTGCTGTTTTACAGGAAACTGCATACATTATGAGCATTTGAAATTATACATTGAAAATGAAAACTTAAAACAAATAACCTGCGCACAGATAATGTAAGCAGTATAAGGGGGCAATATAGGATCAATGAAAAACCCAACCGGGGCCTGTATAGGGTCACAATTTATAGGGTCAAAAAATCAGCCTGGGGTGATATGGAGTCAAGTTAAATCTAACATTGGAATAAGAGGATTGACCCAGGTGGCATGACGTCATGGTACTGGACATTGGGAACAATGTAGCAAGGAGCTGACCTAAATACACGCAGCTACCACTACTCTAGGGAGGGTCACATACACATACAACAGAGACATATAACACATTGATATATATATATATATATATATATATATATATATATATATATATATATATATATATATATATATATATATATATATATATATATATATGGCAAATTTTTTAAAAATAAAATTCTTTTCGAGACATTGGGAGTGGCTCTAAAAGAGCTTTGTTTGTTATGTTAACATCATTCCGCTAACTTACTGGACATCGCATAGCTCCTCTTTTCTTCTTCATATTCCTCAAAGCTTGTCTTAAACTGTCTCATTTCTGGTCGAAAGATGAGAGTCCGTATCAGACAGCACTGTCTTTCCACATAACATCTTTTCTGGTGGCCTAGTAGTTAGAGCGTCCGCATCGGGTCCTGGAGGTCGCGGTTCGATCCCCGGTTGAGTCATACCAAAGACTTATAAAATGGTACTAACAGCTTCCTCACTTGGCGCTCAGCATTAAGAGGTTAGTGTTAGGACTGGTCGGCCTAGTGTCAGGATAATGTTACTGGGTGGGACATCTTGCTGCCCCAGTGCTAGACATCACTATAAACTGCCACACTGACGGCATCGTAGCGATATGACTGAAAAATTGTTAAGGCTACGTTAAAAATCACATCACATCACATCTTTCAAAACAGTTGCACCGTTGATCTGGATGACAGTCCCTTTTGTTTTCACATACATGGATACGTTCATATGGAAAAACAATGACGATACCAAAGTAGAGGATTTAGCGTCGATCAACATCTTTGTGACGAGAACAGGTGAAGGGAAGGAAGTGAACCACGTCTACTTATAGCGAAAGAGCGGATCGAAATGGATTGAAATTGTTCACCAATCCCATCACGCGTTACAAAATTCAGTCACTTCGCGGAGTCTGTTTTCCAATCCAGAGAGAGTCACCGTTGACGTCGCATTCCCTATATAGGTGCATTAGCGTTTGTGTGCATTGAATTGAAACGACATTGTTTGGTCAAACATGAAGGAACCTAAGAAGATAATGAATTGTGGTGCACCGGCTGTGGAGACAAAAAGCGATGATATATCAGCGACTACTAAAGTGAACACAGTGCAACTTCCCGAAGAGATTGATTTCAACTGGCATTTAGTAGATTTTCTCTCTTCGCAAGAATTTGTACCGGCACCAGCACCTTCGCCACTTTCTCCTTCTTTACCACCCGTCGATGATTTTAGACAAAGACAGAAAGAAGAATTAGAGAAATATTTAAGCAGCAGAAAGAGGCAGAACAAGAATTTTTCCTTGAACAGTAGCGGCGAGAAGAAGAAGAGGCAAGAAGGAAACGACAGGAAGAAGAAGCAGTAGAAAAGATACAAAGGTTAGAAGAGAAGGAAAACAGTGAAAGTCAAACGGTCACGGTACTCTTGGACATTTTGTTTGAGTTATGAAGTCTGAAACAAATGTATCAGAGTTCTTTATTACTACCCAAGAGAAAAAGACCTTTCTGAGAAAAACAGCC